CATTTGGGGGCAAGTTTAAAACAAAAAATCCTACATTTGGGGACAAAAGTGGAGTCACTATTTGGTTTGAACACCATTGGTGGGTTGGGTTTAGGACCAAGGTGTGAACTGAGTGTAGGTTAGTTTTAGTGTTGGTGGTCAGGGTTAGGGAATAAATTACCAAAAAATGAATGGAAGTCAATGGACAGACCCCACAAGGATATAAAAACAAGTGTGTGTGTTCATAATTTAGAAATAAAGAAAGGATTAAAACATATTTATCAGCACTTTGTGAGTCAAAATTGACATCTTTGTGTTTTTGCTGGATTTTCAAATTCAAATTCAAAAAATATTCATTTCATTTTAAAATAAAAACAAAGAAAAATACTTTACAAATAATACACAACTTATATCTTAGAGAAAACAACAAAATGAAAGGCAGCAGAAGAAGAAAACAATATTATAAAGTCTGCTTGTCTTGTTTCCAAATATGTTTTCACTTTGATTTTCAATTAGTACAATACTAATTAGGATTTAAAAAATATAAAATAATAAAATAATTAAAAGAAAACACATTTAAAAACCAGGAAATTGTATGAAAGTCAACATCAATCAAAAGCACAAAATGAAATCCATCAAACTAAACTAAACGTCCTGTCAGGTCAAATTATATTTGTTCATATCCCTTCAGAAAAACTTTAAAGTATTTCTTGAATATATTCAGAGATTAGACTTTCCTCAGCTCATCTTCTGAACTGAGCTCCATCTCTCCTTCAGAGTTTAAATCCTGAACTTTACAAACATTTCTCTTCCCTTCAGACTGAAGAACTCTGTCTCTTCATGAAATTAACTTGAACATTTGGTGTTAATGTTTTTCTGGGTCTTATTCATAAATATTAAAATGTTGTAATCGACCAGATCATAGAATTTAAAATTTGTTATTTTTTTAAAATAATCCATCACTCTTTTGGCTCATTTAGATCATTTGTACTTGTTGTAATTAAATTTATGGAACTTTTACAAATGAAATGTTTATGATGAAGTCTTGACATGAAGCAGAGTTCCTGTGTGTTTCTGCAGATCATGCTGAACTCCTTACACAAGTACGAGCCGAGGATCCACATCGTGAAGGTGGGAGGCATCCAGAAGATGATCAGCAGCCAGTCCTTCCCTGAAACTCAGTTCATCGCTGTGACAGCGTACCAGAACGAGGAGGTGGGTTTGTTCTCGCTGCGAGGCTTCGTCCCACATCTTCTCTTTAACACACTGCAAAAACTGTCCACCTAACCAAGTTTTAAATCTTATATCAGCCAAAAAGTCTTTTTGATCTTGTTTTCAGACTGATTTACTAAACAAGAACTGATTGTGTAAGAATAATCATCTTGTTTTCAGAATGTGTAAGATTATTTGTCTTGTTAGTCTGAAAATTTGACTCTAATTAAGTCAAACATTTCTGCCAGTGGAGGAAGAACATTTTACTTGGTAAGATTCTTGAAATACTTGATTTGACTCAGTTTTTTCTTGTTTCAAGAATAATCAAGCGCCTCTAGTGTTTAGACATGGAACTGCATCCAGCGATGCTGGATGCAGTTCCATGTCTAAACACTAGAGGCGCTATAGAGCCTGATAGAAAAGTCCAGCATGAATCAAGCTGATAGAAATACTTGATTTGACTCAGTTTTTTCTTATTTCAAGAGTCTTACCAAGTAAAATGTTCTTACTCCACTGGCAGAAATGTTTGACTTAATTAGAGTCAAATTTTCAGACTAACAAGACAAATAATCTTACACATTCTGAAAACAAGATGATTATTCTTACACAATCAGTTCTTGTTTAGTAAATCAGTCTGAAAACAAGATCAAAAAGACTTTTTGGCTGATATAAGGTTTAAAACTTGGTTAGATGGACAGTTTTTACAGTGTGTTAACACTTTAATCCCTGGCACAGATCACTGCTCTGAAGATTAAACACAACCCGTTTGCTAAAGCCTTCCTGGATGCCAAAGAAAGGTAAAAGCTGCAGCTTGTTCCTGAAGCAGCAGGGTTTAAAAGTGTCTTAATGCAGTGTTGATTCCAGGAGCGATCATAAAGACGTGTCGGAGCACAGCGCAGACAGCCAGCAGCCAGGATATTCTCAGCGTGAGTAGGTTTTGAATCTGATGCGAGGATGTTTGATGAGGAGGAACCTTCATGGTCTGTTCCTCCCTCCACAGTTGGAGGCTGGTTCCTTCCAGGTCAGAATCCCATGTGCCCCAGCAGCAGCAGCAGCCCCCCTCAGTTCAGCAGCACAGCAGGCCACTCGTCCGGCTCTTACTGTGAGCGCTACTCCAGCCTGAGGAGCCACCGAGCGGCCCCGTACCCCGGCCCTTACCCCCACCGCAGCTCCGGCCCCAGTGAGACCCTGCTCAGGTCACTGCTGACGGTCTGCAGGGCAGAGCTGCTCTCATGACCTCATTTCTTCTCTTTTTCAGACAACTACATGGACACCAGCTCAGGGASTCTGCCTGCCCACGACAGCTGGTCCCCCCTTCAGATCCCCAGCTCCACAGGGATGGGGACCCTGGCCCACACCACCAACTCCAGCTCCAGCTCCAGGTGAGACTTCAGTCCCGGATCTATAACCGTGTTTCCATCAAGGCCTTTAGATGCACATTCACAAGTCTCGCATTAAAAATGCAAAAAAAAATAACAAAAGTCAGATGGAAACAGCAAAATTTGGAAAAAAAATCCCCAATTCACTAAAAAGTTTTTACGCTCTCTTGAGTTGGTTTTAGGGTTTTTCGTAAAACACTTGATGCACAAAAGGAGAGATGGAAACACTTTTGCAGAATAAGTTGTGACGTAGTGAACATTTACCTAACGTAGCTGATCAGCTGTTCCCTGGTACCGGTACCAGTTTCAGGTCGGCTCCTCCTGATGTTTGTGTCTTCTCAGTAATCCTGTAACGTGAAGAAAATCACATTTCTGTCTCAACGTCTGCAGACAGCAGGAACATCACCAGAACTAGTTATAACAGAGTAATTACAACTTTCCTGATAACCTCTCTGTTATCCTGAGATGTGTGGACCCTGTGAGTTTAGTGACGGTTACTTCCTGTTTACTACACATGTGTATGACGTCATTGATTCACTTCAAGCCAGTTGATGGAAACACGTCTGATTCTCATTTCTTAATTTTTTCCTTTTTGCGAAATTATTAAAATTTTCTCAAAATTAAACTAAAATTGGATGTGAACAGAGTTGTTGTCAGGCTTCCTGCAGCAGCACATTCATGATGCTTTGTCTCCTCTGCAGCCAGTACCCCAGCCTGTGGTCAGTGGCGGGCACCACCCTCACACCTTCAGCCTCCTCCTCCTCCGGCTCCATACCTGGAGGTCTGACGTCACAGTTCCTGAGGGGCTCCTCCTACACCGGCCTGGCCTCCTCACTTCCTGTCTCCTCACCGTCCTCCATGTATGACCCCGGGCTGAGCGAGGTGGGAGTCGGGGACGCCCAGTTTGAGAGCTCCATCGCTAGGCTCACAGCGACGTGGGCACCTGTAGCACAAAGCTACTGAGGGGGTCTCACTCCAGACAGCCCTGAGGACCCCCGGACTGACAGATCTTTATAAAACATGATGGGTTCTTGTGACGTCTGCAGTCTGAGTTCTGCAGGAGTCATTTAACAGAACAGGAAGTAGTTCTCTGAGTCAGTTTGTTCTGATTTAATGCAGGAAGCTTTGTTTCAAACAGCCTGATGATGACATCATGAGAGTTTGTTAGAAATAAAATAAAACGGTTTAAAGTCTGTCATCTGCTGCTCGTTTCTGGAACTAACTTCATTTTTGTGTTTTTAATTTTAGTCAGCCTCCACAGGATGATTCTTTATAAAAGAAAGAAAAACTTCAAAATGTACATGTGTGTATATAGATTAAATTAATGTCTTGTGTTGTCCACAGAAATGAGCCTTTTACACGTTCAAAGTGCCTTTAATTCCTGGGAGGAGGTTTGAAAACCAAACAATGCATTTTCTGTTCAAACATCTTGTACAGAAGCTTTTCTCTCTTCTGGATTCTGCTCTATGTTTTATTTATGCCTTTTATTAATGAATTAAATATATTTGCTTTACAAAATATACAGTTTGGCTTTTATTTTGTCTTTGGTTACTAGAAATATGAGTTGTGTCTGTCAGAAGTTCAGATTGATTTCAGCTGTTGTTATTTATAGAATATTGTCCTGTGATGTACATATTTACAGTATGTTGTCCTGTGATGGACATATTTATAGTATGGTGTCCTGTGATGGATATATTTACAGTATGTTGTCCTGTGATGGACATATTTACAGTATGGTGTCCTGTGATGGACATATTTACAGTATGTTGTCCTGTGATGGACATATTTACAGTATGGTGTCCTGTGATGGACATATTTACAGTATGTTGTCCTGTGATGG